TAGTGAGGGAGACAGGCCTTGTGTGCTCAGCAGCATGCTTGGTGAGGAAGACAGGCCTTGTGTGCTCAGCAGCATGGGTAGTGAGGGAGACAGGCCCTTTGGGCTGTCCTGCTTTCTCACTTAAGCTCACTGGAGGTACTCACTGAGGCCTAGAGGAGTAGAGAGTGAAAATCATTTTTGTAAGGGGAATTTTTTTTCTTGAAATTCTAATTCATATACACTTCTATAAAAATCATTTCCTATTCTTTTGTAGCTAATTTGGATTTGATTCTTCCCAGTTCCCAATCTTTATCCTGGTTATCACTTAATTCTCCCAGATCTATTTATCAGGTCTCTGCTTTGATCCTTTCCACAAACTTCCATTTTCTCTTTCAACTTCCTACATGGTTCCCTTGGCTCTTTCTGTAGTCTTCTGTGTAGCCCAAGAAAGGCCTTAAGCCTGCGATCTACCCCAGTGCCAATATTATAGGCGTAGGTAGCCACACCCCCTCGACCATGCTTTTGGCTTGGAGTAAAGACAAGAGCATGACACTGGTATGGGGGGCAGTGGTGTACTCTTTGGCAGATATTTCTGTTTCCATGCCTAGTTCTGGAATAAGCTCATCTGCACACTTAGGAGATGGTGTGTCTCCCAGGGCCTGACAGCCCCGGAGGGCTGAGCCTCCTTGGAGACCACCCATGGAGTTTCCTGCTGTGGGTCAGCATGCTGCTGTCTACTAGGAAGCTGGCATTAGGCAGTTAGAGACGAGGTTCTGTGAATGCCGTCACCCACCCACCACTCCACAGTTCCTGATTTCCTCCGTTTCCCATGGCACTTGGTTATCTTCTGTACTTGCTGCATGTGCTCCATTACCAAGCTAATGAGCTTTGGCTTGCCTAGATGGGCTTGAATCTTGATTGGGAGAAAGAGGTAATAAATGAAGTGAGTTGGCGCCTCTGTCTCTGTGGCACAGGATGCTGCTTCACTATTTCTCAGTGCCAGAGGCTCTTGCATGGCTTTCCAGCCACACAATCCGAGTGGATCTTTGCAGGGAGGGTCTCACTTTTGCAGCTCAGTAAGCGAGTGGGGTGGGTTGGAGAGGCTGGTTCGTGGTGTCTGGATTCTTAGTACTGGTTTGCAAACTTTGGAGCCCTATCTGGGTAGGCAGGGAGCAGAACGGAAGCATGTATGAGGGCTCCATCTGTTTCTTTCCTCATTGTCTTCTTGCCCGCAGGAGTGCCAGCACAGGAGAAGGCACCTGCCAAGCTCTTGGTCTACCTACAGCGCTTCAGGCCTCTGGACTATCAGCGCCTGCTAGAAGCAGACAGTCCCAGCGAGGCCACAGGGGTCTTGGCATCCTGACAGCAGTGTTCACTTTCTTAAAAGGGAAGGTAACTCTGAAGCCACCATCCACACCTGGACCCACTGTGCTTTTACAACAGAGCCAGCTCTGCCTGGTCTTTCGCCCACTCTGAGCTATCCTTCCTGGAGCCCTCCCTCACTGCTTCCCTCATCCGTCAGATGCAATCTGTGGGCCGCCCCTCTCCCCTGGCCGCTAAGCAGCCTCCATTGATTTCCGCTCGTGTTTATAGGATTTCCACTTAGCCGTGATCAGTAGTTAAGCACAGGAAAATCCCTTGCCACCCCCCCTCCCTTGGTCGATGCCATTGATTCTGCCAGAGGCTCTGAAGCCGCCTTACAGCTGAGTTAGAGATGAGGGGAAACAGCAGGGATTTCCCTGCCTTGGGGAAGAGTAAGAAGGCGGGGCGATGGTTGGGAACTCCTTAAGGGATCTAGAAATTCTGGGCCTGCCACTGGAGGGTATAGTGCCCTGTGTTGCAGTTTAGAGATACATTTGCTCTCCAATCCAAAGAGGGGTAGAAAGAAAATGGTCATTGTTGAGACAGGTTCCTAGGGCTTCAGGAAGTCATACTTCCTGTGGAGAAGGCTCCACCCTTGCTCCTACACATTTTTTTTCTCTCTCAACTAGGTCAAAATAGGCCTTTCTGCCCTCCTCATGCTTCAGAGACTTTATTTGTTGGGGAGGAGGCAGGCTCTCCATATTGTGGTGACAAATATAGGGTCTGAGTGCCACCTGCTGGTAGACCTCAGGGCTGTGTCCCAAGCTGAGGGCGCAGAAAGATTTCAGATGAGCTGAGGTAGTTATGAGGCGGGCAAGCTTAGCAGCCTGAGACTCCACTTGGTCTGAGCTGTGCATGCCTCTCATCTAACTGCCGCTTGGCATCCTGGGATCCTCAGCTGCATGCACCCTGTACACACATTCTTCTAACAGTGCACCCACCTGTATTGAGTAGCACTTATGTCCCGCTTTAGACAGTAAGTAAATCTCTCTCTCCCCAGCAGCCATCAAAAACTCCCCTTTTGTGGAGAGTTTTATTCAAATACTTTAGAACATACCCCAAAGTAGGGAGCTGATTAGGCCTAGACTGGTTTTGGGTGCAAGCACAGTAAGATAAACTGTTCTTTGGGTGAACTTTTAAGGAGAACTCCCTATTGACCATCCTATGCCTCTGCAGAATGAGTTAGTATATGATTAAAATCAGTTGCATCATGGGAAGGGTCATGCACAGTGAGGAAAGACTTACAGAATCCATGTCTGTCAATGAAAATAGAGAATCATTCAATTTCATGCCACTTTGCAGCTAACACCTCCTTTCCCTTGGATACTGGTCATCCCCATCTGCAGTGCATTTCTAATTTGTATCATCACTTTGCTTTTAAATAAAGTTTCCTTGCTACTTTGTAATTTATATGTGCCTTTATTTCTATTCCTTGAATAAGACACCAAGAGCCTGGAGACACCCAGGCCAGACACTGACCACAGTAAGTTACTGCCACGTCTCCACAGGCAAGTTATCCACCTCAAAGATCTCCTGTACCGGCTGGCCAGCGTGGTTGTAGGTGAGGCGCAGCTTTAGTCGCAGAGGTGCCTAAAAACAGGAAAGCAGAGTCCAGGGTCAGGTGTCATACTGCTCTGGTCCCTCTTACCCACAGGGCCTGACAACTCACCTTGTTAGGATTGAGGATTCTTAAGATCTGGGTGATGGGAAGACCACCCTGAGCTGGAATTGTGTTCCCACTGGGGGCCTGTAACTGCAGCTGGAAGCTCTGAACATGGGAGATTTGAGGAGAGCACAGTAAGGCCTCTGGTTGGGCTCTGGCAGTCCTCCACATCCTGTGGCTCCCAAACATTTTTGAACACCCCAATAACTCCACCACTCCTTTCCCATTACATCTTCCCACCCTCCTCCACTACTTTCTGGCCTTTTCTCCTGCAGTGCCTGGGCCACCTCTGAATGCTATTTTTTTTGTTTGTTCTTGTTTTTGTTTTTTTCTTTTTCGTTTATCAAAACAATGTAGCTCAAATTGGCTTCTAAGTCCCTCTGTTACCCCAGACTGGCCTCAAACAGTGAGTCCCCCTGCCACAGCTTTATAAGTTCTAGAATTACAGGCTGGTGCTATCACACCTGGCTGAACCCCACTGTTTTCAAACCTTGGGCACAGCTGCCTGGCAAACGAAGTGGGTAACATCCTCCTTTGAGGAGTTGGTGGTGGTGGCAGTGACTAAGAGCAAAGCAGGGGTTTCTGAGGGCCGCGTGAAAGAAAGATCCAGCTGCAGGCCCTGGCGCTCAAATACTCGGACACTGGGAATGGGAGCTGGAGAAGGGAGAGAGGCAGTTCAGTGCATGGGCTTAAGATAGAACACCCATTCATTCACCCAGTAAGAATGGACTGAGCCAGTCTTGACTCTGCAACTGTCCCAGATCTAATGACAAACTAGATGAGCTAAGGTTGGGACTGACCACCTAGCTGGGGAAAGAGAAACATCAGATACAAGATAATTATGGCCATCACGATGAACCGAGTTAAACAGGAGAGGGTAGGACAGACATTTAGCTGAAGAGTAGTATCCGCTAGTCCTTTTGGTGTTGGGTAAAGAACGTGAAATGTTAAGGGTTTGAGGTGGAAGAATTTAGGGAGCTGAAGAGGCCAATAGAGTGGGTAGTAGGAAATGATATGGAACAGTCTGAGTGGAAACAGGCCTGAAGACTAGGGTGAGAAATACAACGAGGGAGATCATTAAGGAGTGCCAGGATGGGACTGCCATGGATCAGAACCTTTGCCTACTGAGATGAGTATCCCCATCCTTGGCTCAGAAAGACAAATGACCCATTTCCACCCTGCTTCTATAATGTTTCTCCCTTTGCTGAGGACTACCTGGGGGTGGAGGTGCACACGGAAGGTCGAGGAGATGAATTAAGGTTTCCCCTGGGGAAGGATCCAGAGGAGGAAGATGCTGAGCATGCCCAGAAGTGTCATCCAGGAGATCGAGCAGATCTAAGAGTTTGGTGGCCTGGGAACAAGGGCAAGAGGGTCACAGCAGGGCGTGAACACCCACAAAAGTCTTCTTTACCCAGGTCTTCCACCTCCTCACCTGGGGTTCTGTGGGGACAGGGGTTGTCGCTTCCAAGAGCTGGGCCCCTGTTTGCTTCTCCTTCCCTTCCTCATTAACGCAAGGGTCACTGCGCTCTACAAGAGGCATCTTTTCGAGGATGGCAGCTCTGAAGGGATGGAATGCAAGAGTTCCTGTGTGAAGCCTTTCACAGAAGCATTTGGGAAGAAGACCAAGGACATAGCTGTTGCATGCGGGGTCGCAAGCGCTGTCCTGGCGTCCTAAGACAGGGCACCACTGCTGGTCTTCCGACAACAGATGAGGATGGGAAACCAGCTTGGTATCAACTATGGATGGGAGGTGAGCCCCACAAAGAGAAAGGCCATGAAGAGAGCACCAGGAGAGGATAGTTTGAAGTTCTACCTGCCGGTTTCTGGACACACCTCATGTGGTCGTACTTCTGGAAGAGTGTGTTATACTCCACAGCCCGCTGTTGAAGCTCTACGTCCACGCAGCTCCCGTAGATGGACACCACCTGGCGGATTCGACTGGGACACCGTGTGACATGTGAGAGGCAATGGCGGTGGGCCTGCTCTTCCACTCCAGGATGAGAGGGAAGGGTGAGGCCTCACAGAGTAAGGAGACACCTGATCTATGTGGCTCAAAAGCAGATTCCTAAGGACTAGGCGGGGAGAAGAAGGCATGTCTGGGGACTTAGTAGGCATGGTGGAAGGACATCTTTCAAGGGCTAGGAGTGCCTTGCCCTTCTTACTTGTTGTCTCCCCGGAGCCGCGTGCTGAGCTTCATGAGGGCTGTGATGGCGTAGCCTCGAGTGGCTGGCAGGGACATGTGGGACTGTAGCACCTTTTCCAGTAGTGCTAGCACGTCCTCTTCTTCTACCTTCAGGAGTGGACAACAGGTCATGTCTGTCCTGATGACTCCTCCCCAGGGTATCGCTCAGTTCTCAGGTCTCACCTGAAAAGGCTCCGTCTCCTCACAGTTTCCTTCCAGCAGGAGGTCTCCATACTCACCAATGCACCAGGCTGCCACCTGAACCAGTGGCTGCTGTATGGGAGATAAGACACTGAGGGGCTGGTTGGGGGTAGGGTGGGGTCCTCTCGTCTAGACCCTACGAAGTCCCTTTACTGTAGTGCAATTTAAGTTTGGTAGCAGGCTCCATCTTAGCATTTTTGGCTACTATTGCCCTCTGGTGGGCAAGCACCAAAACTACATGGCTTGATCACATGATAGAGCCCTGAGAGGCTCTCATAAGAAAACAGGGATGGTTTCCTCCCTACTCTACTTAAGTTGACAAAGGGACAGATATCTTAGGGTGGCACCTACTAATCCACTTGACACTGAAAGTAATAATAGGAAATGACTATATGCGCCAAACCTTAATATATCTCATTTGATCTTGAAGACAGCCCAGGAGGTAGTCATTCTAGAAACTTGAGGACATGTAACTTAAAGGAAATAAAATTATTTATCTGGAGATGCAGCCAGTATTCACTAGGGGCAGGACTTAAGCTTAAGTAAAAGGTAGGCTTAGTCTTTGGCCATTTTCTGTGTGTGTGGGGAAAACATTCAAATTCTAGAGTTGAGAAGGCTGCCCAGCTCGACCTGGGGAGACAGGAGTGATACCTGGGAGATATCCTCTGCTAAAGCACTGTAGAGGCGGCGCACAGAGTAGGTATGCAGCTCCTCGGCCTCCCCAATCAGCTGGGTCAAGTTGGCCACTGCATCATCCCTCACATGGGTGCCTGCCTGGAGAGTGGTGGATGCGGCCAAGTCAGAGCTCTGCCAACTCCTGCCCACCTCCCTGACTACCCCCGTCTTACCGTGGTTAGCACATGCAGGATGGTGTCTATGTGCCACCGCTTGCTGGGAGCAAACCTAGGGGACATGGCTCATCAGCAATGTCACTGTCCTTCCCCAGGCCGCAGCCTCTGACTCCCAGCCATTTGTCATTTACCTCTCTGCAGCCAACAGAATGCCTGAGGCACAGTCAGCCCGAAGATCAGGGGAGCAAGACTCCAGAAAGGCCTGCAGCTCCTGCATCATGGCTCGCACATTGGAGCTATTCACCAGAGCCAGGCTTAGCTCCAGGGCCCGCCTATTGAGAGACAGGTATCCGGGGAGATGGTCCAGGTTACCCTGTTCTGGCTTCCCTGTTCCCAGGCACCTTTTCCTTTAGTTCTTACTCCAGATGCTCTGAGCTGGTTTGAGTTTTGGCCACCAGGCACTGTGTCCTCTGCCCTGTCCCCTTCTCCCTTCTCCCTCTGCTTACCTGCTAAGGGAGGCATCCGTCTCCTGTAGACACTCTACCACAGTGGACCGGTGACGTTGCACAGCACTGTGGTCAGACTGCACCAGCTGCAGCAATGATGTCAGAGCCACATACCTGGTCAGGGGAAGAGAGGCCACATCACACGGGGTCATCTGCCTTGAAACCCTGTGTTGCCCCCCAGTATACCTAAAAGGTAGGTGGATCAGAAGGAATACAGAGGGCCAGGTGTCTAGTAGTACAATCTAGCCAGATACTGGCTGTTACCTAATGTTCTTGTCATTGTTGAGCAAGAAACGACCAAGAATGTTAACAGCCAGAACCTATGGGAAGAAGAAGGTGGAGACAGTCAGGGAAGAAGCCACTTGTTCAGTGGGATCTCCTCCATGATGGGGGTTAGGGAAAAGCCAAAGACCAGGGCCAGCTGAGTAGGTGGGGCCACAGCAAGAGAACACATGAGCATGTAATGCTACCTACCCGGAGGCCGGCTGCAGAGTGGATGGCCATGATGGTAAGCACTGTCTCCAACAGGACTGCGTTGCCTGCATTTCGGCTGGTGTCTGTGTTGGTGGCGACCTGTGAGGATGGGAAGAGGTTCATCTGTACAGGGCTCTGCTCTAGTGATTGCTGAAAGATGACTGCTGTGCTCTCTGTTATCCTTCAGTCCCTCACAAAGCTCCCTGAACCCCACTAGATGTTAGGGCTGTGGTACAATGACAGACTATAGCTGTCCTTCACAGAATTAATTCATTGGTTGGGCTGGGGGCAGAAAGGCAATTACATGGCCTCTGCATGTTAAATGGTCATGTGAGGTGTGTCTGGGGCTGATGGACCCCAAGAAGCCACAAGGCCTAAAGCGTGCCTCCCACCTGGGCCAGCAAGTCGTTCATGGTCTCGCTACTTTCTTCATGGTTTCGTCCCAGAATCCGAAGTAGGCGGAGTATCTGGACCTGAGATTGGATCAGAGTGGTTCATAGAGTAGGGTCATAGGCTGGAGGCTAAAATACATAACACTGTAGACAACGCTGCAAGGGGTCTGACTCCCTTCACCTCCATGGCTCCCTCGGACG